CACAAGTTTATTAGTCTAGAGACTATTACGTGCTACCCTCTCAAAATAAAAGACTTTATTTATTATTTATTTATTTATTTATTAGTACAAACACTAAAACTGTGCAACGTAAAGACCACTAAATACTACTAAATTATGCTATTGTTTTCTATTGTTTAATTAGCATTATTTTTTAGTAAATACTGCAAAGTATTGCATGCTTTTAGTGTTTGTACTCTACACTCAAATCTATATAACTAACTTATTCTGGTTATATTTTCTCAGACATAAGTTAATTCCGTGTACATTATTTTGCAATTTGAACTTACTCATCTTGTGACAAGGGTGTGTATACTGCTGGATCTTCACTGTAAGCCTAAAATATAAATAAACTTTACTAAGAATAAACAATAACTATTTCTACAGTAGAGTGATCACACTTGATCCATGCAACTGTACAAAATCTAAGTAGTACTAATTTGTACTAAAAGTGGACCTCAAGCAAAATTTTATTAAATTCATTAGCTTTGCCCCTAGTTGGGCAGGGACACCGCAACAGCTTGAGCCAATTACTGCGGACCCTGTACTCTCACACTCACTAACTCTACATGAAGTATTTTAGCACACAACACATCTCACCATGTTGATTTTTGCTGAGGGAGGAAAACTCTTGTGGCAAGGGAGAGAACAACACATCAAACAAACTCAATCAAACAAACTCTGGAATCGAACCCGGACCACAGCAGTGCGAGGCCAGTAGCTTAACCACTAGGCCACATGGCCACCCACCCATGAATGCTTCATTTGTAACAATTCAATTTAATTTGCGTACCGCATAGACGATTTACTGAATACACTTAAACAGCACTATTTAGTTTGTACAGTTGCACGGTTGAAGTGCGATCACTCTATTATCAACATTTATCAAATCTCTATTTCTCTATTTTAATATAAATAATAAAAAGATATATTTAGTAGTCACCCGCCGTTAAGCTGTCACATGAATTACCGAAAAAGACAATACTCTCTTATATAATATACATGTATTTACTTTAAATCAGGGATTCTGGAATTATGCGCAAAAAAAATCAAAATTATGCGGGATTATGCGCRAAATTATGYGCGATGACGTCATCGCTTAAAACCTAAAATATGACTAATTCGGATTAGGAAACTCAGTTATTTTGTTTCGTTTTATAAAAGAATGGAATATTAAGCATTATAGATACATGATCTTTTCCATTTAAACATAAGTATAWGGCCAAAAGAGAGAACAATTCTTGTAAACGTCCRCCATCTTGGAAACCGCYAATRGCTSTGRAACCTGGGCCGAGCCACAGGAAACCCATCACTAAATGAATGTCATAAAAACAAAATGGCGTCGCGCGCACATATGGCGTTGTTTTGTTAAAAAATGATACTTCAGTACTTTGTATGACGATAAAAAAGGGAAAAARACAATACTCAAGCCAGACGCAAGATAGTTAACACATGTATTGATTTTTTGACAAATTATGCGGGATTATGCGGAAAATGGCCGATTATGCGGGTCCACATCAGCGCATAATTCCAGAATCCCTGTAAATGTGACCTCTATCAAATCGAAGTGACTGCTTAACAGAGGATTAACATTAGCTTACAGAGAGTCTTGTACACAGGGAGAGGGGAAGGAGMCATTATGAATACTTATTTGCATTACAAGTGCATATTTCTGTCCTCTAAGTTTTGTCTATTATTTAACCTCCTGGTGTCCAGACACAACAAAAGTCAATTTTATGGAAATTTTATGCAGATTCAATAACATTTACTTCCTAGCATGATCTGGTTTCTTTACAATTAATGTAATAAAAGATTAATTGCAATGCAGGGCTTGAAATAACGGCCAGTCAAAGGACAACTGTCCTTCCAAATTCGCTAGATAACCAGCCAAATCGGGTTTTAAAAGGACAAATTGACCTGCCACATTTTTAGACAAATCAATTCTCAATTGTCTAAATAAATCCTTTACAAGCCATTAAAATGCTTGCCGATCTTTCTGAATACAAAAACTTATAAATTAAAAGAAATAATAGTTTATTACTAAAGTTTTTGTCCTTTCAAAACTTGGCATGACCTTCCACAAATGGATTTGGAAGAACATCTTGTCCTGCATATGTCTGGCTGTTATTTCGAGCCCTATGATAGCCACCAAAAGTTATTACCTTACGGCATGCTGGACACAGTCCATTTTCATCTGTTCTTATTCGATGCCAACAAAACCTACATACCTAAATAAAGAATAAGGAAAACAAATCACTTAAAGACTAGATTTTACACTTGTACATTCATACTTCCTGCCTCAAAAGATGTTGTAATTAAATGATACACTGGGGAAGGTGGCGGGATAAGTTGCTGATAAGGGGAGGTTAAGGGATTAGGGGGAGGGGGAAGGGTAGGAGGGGGAAGGGCTGTCCAGTACAGGAAAAAAAAAAMCATTAAAATTCTGTTATCCTTCATGAGTTTGTAAGGAATAAAACTATGCGCATTGTTTACAAATTCTTAAATCGTATTGTCGTATTGTTTTCTATTATTCAGGCATGTCGGAATTATGCGCGGATGCGGACGCGCATAATTGCCCCCTTTCCGCATAATTTACCAAATCGCGCATAATCCCGCATAATTCGTGTTTTTTTT